GGATGCAACAAAGTAGGTTTGCGGTAGGTGACACAGTCATATCCACGATGCGCTCGTCCTTGCTCGTCCTCAAAGATCGCTGGTTTTCCCAGCTTACTGGCGCCTTCTATCCACAATGCCCCCCCTGTGTAGTCACCGAAGGAGAACGTGAGGTTGTACGACTCTTTTTGGTTGTACTTGTCTGTGTGGAGTCGGGCTTTGCCGTTAAAATTGAAGACAAACGAAGTCCAAGTGAAGCCTTTAGGCGATGATCGTTTGATGAATGCGTTCACGTACTTGCATACCCAGGGATGCTGCTCGGTACGTTTCGTAACCCCATAGCACCCACCATGGACCCAAGCCCCAAATACCAAGTAGGTAGATGGTTTGTTGTTCTTGATCAGTGCCCTCATCGTCGTCATGGATGCTTTCAGATTCACACGAATGAGCTCTGCCAATGATTCGAAGGTCCCGAAAGTGAAGTCCTTAGACTCGAGCGCTTTCCTAGCGAACTCCTCGACGATCGCAATGCCATCGGAAGTAGCTGCAACGGAAACTTTGGCGGTTTCGGGCTTCGACACGGGCTTGCACCCGGCATGCGTGCTCGATGTGTGTCCGATTAACTTGAGAGCATGCACCCACTTTGTCTTTTCGGTGAAGGGCTTCGTGAACACGTCGGCGGTCTGTTCAGAAGTGCCAACGTTCAACAGCTTGAATTGTCCTGACTCATACTGTTGCTTCAACCACGAAAAGCTTACCCTTTGGGTACGATCAGTGTGTCGTAGTACTCCGGCTTGTCCCAGAAGAAGCAATGTAATTGTTGCTTGATTGTCTTCCATGTGCCTTACCTCGAAACTTTGGGGAAGTTGTACACGAAGACCATTGATGTCGGCAATAGACACACCGTCGGGACGAGTAGTGCCGTACCGTATTTCATCTAGTTCAGGATCTATCCGTGCAACGATTTCATCCCCTCTCTCAGCCCTTGGCTCGGCCTTGCGGCCGGCATCTCCACGCCATAGGAAGTACCAAAGACTGAGACAAGGTAGGCCTTCGGCGCGCAAGCCATGGTTGGCGGCTACGACTTCTGATTCAGTAGAACTCATAGTGATGGAAGTTTGCTTTTTGCTGAAGGCGTTGAGGGGAAAGTATGTATTTGGTCCAACCAAAAACATAGCACATCCCGTAGTTGACTTCGAGTC